GTTGGTTGTTTATGCAAGCCAAACAGCCTTCTTCACCGCTCTCACAGATGCCTGTGAGATAGAATTCTTAGGAATATTCCTGCCTAACTTACCTGTACTTAAGTGAAAATAAGCTAAAATTATCCTTAAATTGGGCATTACTTCCTACCCCCTTAATTCTAAAAGTAATACAAAAGAGATTCTCCAGCAGGGAAGGCCTTACTGCACACTACACAGTAGCTCAGCCAGTGGGTGATAGGCATACGAACTGCTACAACTTGCTACATTTAGCTACAACCTTTGTAGCTACAATTGGCAGAGAATGTTAAAGACAAAGCCTGAGCTCATCTTTTTGAAGAAAAAGAAAGAAATTCAACAGTGTGATTTTGAGGAAGGTCATAATTCCTCTAGATCTCACTGGGATCAATCTCCTTCTCCTTTTAGGAACAGACCTAAGTTACATCTGCCAGCTCCCCTTGCAATTAAATACGGCCATGGGCTAGGTTCTAATCAACAGAATGCCAGCAAAAGTGATGTGTGCTTTGCATGCTCATACCATGAAAACCTTGAGTGTATGCACTTCTGTGTTCTCTCTTCTGCCTGCTAGAATGGAGATGACTCTCGGGAAGACTTTAACAGGCCTCATTGCTGGACAAAACCTGTCTTCTAACAAAGTCTCAGCACCCTCTCTTTTTTTCCAAAGTTACCAAGAGCTGCATAGACAACTCTAGCTCTGCCATTGTTAGTACCTCCTTAGAAGAATCCTGAGACATCTGGATCACAGGAGCATTATCATGCCTGTATGACTTCCTGACTCTTCTGGGACATTTTATTAATGTTTGCATGAAGTACTACACTGTACCTGTAGTGTCTGGTTGTTTGAGGAGTTCCTGCAGGAAGAAGTCTATATGCTGAGTCAGAACTCTGTAGGATGAAACCTAACCTCATTCCACAGCTATTAACTTCAAATTATCAACTTTTCTCTTTGTGAGTATGTGTACATGAGGGTGTGTGTGTGTGCGTGTGTGTGTGTGTGTGTGTGTGTGATGGGGGCTGTACTTATGCCACACCATGCATGAGGAAATAAGAGGACCACTTTGTGAATTCAGTTCTCTCTTCCAACTTTTTGTGTTGTGAAGATTGAATTAATTTGCCAATTTTGTGCAGCCAGAACCTTGATCCTCTGAGCCATCTCACTAGCCCGTGACTTTTGTAATCAACTAACACACCATTTCATAATATTTTACTTTGTCCCTTAAGCTTCGACTAGGGATGACTTTAAAGAAAACTTTTGGAGAGAAATTCTTTGAATGTGGTTCTTCACATCTAAATCCCATTTCAAGGCCAAATTTGCTTTCTTCCTGCACACTATGACCTCAGTTACTGAAATGGTTCTGTGTCTGAAGAACCCTGTCTGCTAGGCTCCTTTTCTGCCCGTGTGTCTGGAATTGCCCAAGGGAGTGTTCCTTCTGAGTCCAGTTGCCTTCTCTTTAGCTAATGATTTTAATGCTGTTTGTTACTCTGTTTCGTCTGGTTTTGATTTTAGCCTATTTGTTAAGAGTATGATAAGAATATGAACTACTTCTACTCCAGAGTGGAGACACACCATATCAGGTGCCTGCACCATAAATAGGAATAGGTCACAACACAGTATATATTATTTCCCATGAGTTACCTTCCTTTGGAAGAGAAACAATGCTTCATAGTAACATGATAGAGAAAAGATTTTCTGGTTATTCAGAATATTTGAAGTAGAAAAATGTGATGATAACTCTAGATCTATAACTTTTAAAACTAGAAGTTTCAAAGAGGAAGTGTTTTTCCCTGTTGTGAGAAGGAATTTAATTTAGTTTAAAAAAAACAGCCATAACTGCCTATGTTACTTCTTCTGAAGGTCCCATCTCCAAAAGGACATAGAATATCCTTTGCCTTATGCTTTCTCCTAACCCTACTAATTAATTTGTGTTTGATTTTTATTTATTTATGGGTAGTAGTAGCATGATGTGTGTGTGCATCCGTGTGTGTGTGCATGTGTGCGTGCATGTGTGTGAATGTGTGTGACACAGCACTTTTCTGTAATCAGAGGACAGCTTCAGAACTCTTTCCACCAGGGGTTCTGAGGTATAAACTTGGGTTGTCAGGCTAGCGAGGTGTGTCAAGGGTTTTTATCTACCGGACCATCTTGTTAGCCAATCCTAGATTTTTGTTTATTGTTTTTGTTGTTGTTGACATCTTAAAATTAGTTCTTTCCATTTTTGAGATTATGTCATTTTCCCTTCCCTTTTGTCCCTCTAAATCTTCCTATGCCCTCTTTCAAATTCATTTCTTTTTCATAATTGTTACACGCATATATGTATATACATACAAATAAAGCCTGCTCAGACTGTATAATACTATTTGTAGGTATGTTTTCAGGGTTGACCATACGATATTCAGAACAATTGGTGTCCTTTTCCCTGGAGACTCTCTCCCTCACTCCCAGCGTTCCTTAGTTACCTGTAGTTCTTCATGTAGACTTGAGGTTGTAGTAATATGAGCGGCGGGGCTGCGTCCCCAGCACCCCGGCCGCCTGCTAGCTTATAACCTGAAATAATTACACGGACACTGTATTCTTTTAAACACTGCTTGGCCCATTAGCTCTAGCCCTTACTGGCTAATTCTGATATCCCGATCAACCCATTTCTAATAAACTGTGTAGCTCCGGTCTTACCGGGAAAGATTCAGCATGTCAGACCTGGCGGCTTGCTTCATTGCATGTGTCTTCCCGGGAGAGCGGAGCATGGTGTCTCCTCCAGAGAGCAGAGCTGTCGAGTCTGAGCTCACTTCCCCTTCCTCCCAGCATTCTGTTCTGTTTACTCCTCCCACCTATGTTTTAACCTATGAGGCCAAGCAGTTTCTTTATTACTTAACCAATGACCTTCCTCCATCATTTCCCCTTTTTCTATATCATATCCCCCTTTAAATGTAAAAGAACGTTTATAAACCATATTTGGAAACATGGGCACAGTTTTTTCTCTCCAAACTGCTTCCTGCTAAATGGGGGCATTGTTAATTAGGTCTTTCATGGTATAACCTGCGTGCTAGTTTCATCTCAGTTGGCAATTGAGTGAAGCAATTTTCTGAGGGTGTTCACAGCAACCTTTCAGGTGGACGTGGTAATATTGGTATGGAAGTAATCCACAGAGTCTCATCGTCTGTGAAAACAAAAGAAGAATCTCTTTTCCAAAGTATCATATCCTTAGATCCAAATTCAAAATATCTATGTTGGATTAATTCAGCAGCATTTATAAACAAATATCTTTTAGCAGCTCTTGCTCCTTCCTCAGCATTCAAACAATTCATACAGAGCATAATAGCATACAGTATCAAAATTCTCTGTGTATTTTCCATCTTTGTGTGCTTTATTTTAACTTTTATTTTGTTTATTTTTACTTTTATTTTTTGCTTTTTGAGACAGGTTCTCTGTATCTTTGACCTGGAATATCTCTGTAGACCAGGCTGTCCTTGAACTCTCAGAGACCCGCCTGTCTCTGCCTCCCAGGCATTGGGATTAAAGGTGTACACTACTACACCTTGAACTCACAGAGATCTGTTTGCCTCTGCCTTCTAGGCACTGGGATTAAAGGCGTGTGCTACCACACCTTGAAGTCACAGAGGTCAATCTCCCTCTGCCTCCCAAGTGTTGGGATTAAAGGTGTGTACTACCACACCCAACTACCCTCTTTCTTCCTTTTTTTTTATTTTTAAGAACTTTTAGCTTGCATATATTTTTAACACACAGTAAACTTCTTTGTCTTTGAATCTCTTTTTACTATATATCTCTCTTTTTCTGACCACATGAGTCTTTAATTTACCAAGCAATCTCAGTAGGACTAAAGCCGTGGCTTTGCTGGCTAGATGTAGCCCATTCCTTAGCTTTCCAGCCTCATGGCTGAGGTACTGGCTGTAGCCATGTTTACTGCCACAACTCTATGGCATTTCAAAGTCCCTGCCAGCAAATAAGTTGCAGCATTATGTCCACAGACAACACACAAGTCCTCTTTCTGTAGTCGGCCCTCTTGCCTCAAACAGTCAGAGTTTGCCCTGGCAGGATGGCCCAGAAAGCCGGCATTTTAAAACAGCACAACTTTTTTCCTGCTACAGCTGAAAACAAACAAGCATTCAGTCGACTTTTCATCAACACCATTTAAATGTTTCATGGCAGGACCTCTTAAGAGTTGCAGGGTTTTGCAGCTGAAGCTGAGTCAGGAAGCCTCTCTTAGATGAGGCGCTTGCTTGCCCCTAGCAAACAGAGCAGACCCAAAAAATTGCTGCTACCACGTCGGGCGCCATTTTGTAGTAATTGGAGCGGCAGGGCTGCGTCCCCGGCACCCCGGCCGCCTGGCTAGCTTATGCCCCGAAATAACAACACACAAATTGTATTCCTTTAAACACTGCTTGGCCCATTATATCTAGCCTCTTCTCGGCTAACTCTCGCACCTGGACTAGCCCATTTCTAATAATCTGTGTACCCCACGAGGTGGCTTACCAGGGAGATTCTAGCCTTTGTCCATCCTGGGTCAGAGCTTCATCACGTGTATCTCAGAGAGCAGAGCTATCCCATCTACCCGGGAGAGGGGAACATGGTGTCTCTGAGCTCACTTCCTCTTCCTCCCAGCATTCTGTTCCGTTTACTCCTCCCACCTATGTTTTAACCTATCAGGGCCAAGCAGTTTCTTTATTGCTTAACCAATGAAATCAACAGATTGATATATGACACTCCCACATTATTCCTCATCCACTTTAATGCATGTATTGTTGTCATCCTATAAACAAAGACATGTTGATCATGTTTAGACAGTCCTGTTGGTGAGACTTCACAGTTGTGGCTTCTGGCGTCACTAGAAGACTCAATTTCACAGAGATTCCCTTATCCTTCCACTCCTGCGATCTTTTTGAACCCTCTTCAGAGAGGTTCCCTGAACCTTAGGTGTGGGAGTTGTTTTATAGATGGATCCATCAGTTTGGACTGGGCTCCATAACTCTGCATTTTGGTTGGTTGTGATTTTTGTGTCATGGTCTCCATCCAATACAAAGAGGTTTCCTCAATGAGAGCTGTGGACTACACTGTCTCTGGATATAAAAACAAATATTTAGAATGTAGTTAGGCATTAGGCTGCTTTAGCAAAGAAGTGGTTGTAGGTTCTCCTCCAAGATCCATGACTTCATATCCCTGAGTAGTTGGCTAGACTTCCAGTTGACTGATTCTTAAGTCCAAATTAGAAAGCTGGTCTCCACCTTGATATGCAAGCCATGACTGCACCCTTAGTAGCAAGCTGATTGTTGTGGGTCATAGGTGTCATGGCTGAGTAGGACTGTTAGTTGCCTTCCTCTTTGGAACCTTACATGCACCTTCCAGTGCAGCACTTCTTCTATCACATGGCACCTTCTAGTAACTCAAGGAGGAGGTACTCAGGTCATTTCCAGCTCAGGGGTCTCCGAATCCTAGCCATTCTTGGTGTCCGGTTGAGTCTAAATTCATTGTCCATCAACACTACATATAGAATTTTGATCAAAGCAATGCAAACTTCGTGAGTTTCAGCCTTTCGCTATAAACATATTTTTACTGCCACAAATTGTCTAGCGGATCAAATACAATAATGTGTTTAGAATAGTCTAACACATGATCTATGAGGTGGTACCTACTTAATGAGGCATTATGCCATTCCCTTCCCTTTTCTGATTTTCATCTTTCTACGGATAACTGAAAGTGAGTCAGACCTAAGCATGATCAGGAAAATAGACCATACCCATCTAAATATAAAAATACTAAACTTATATAAATTATGAAACAGGACACAGGGCCTACTGTATGAATAACTAGACCTCTTCTTTTTATAAAAGTGTTTTTGTTGTAAAGTCAAGTCCCACATTAATGAGTTTGCCTTTCTTTCAGGATAGGGAAGCAGAGACTCATGCCTAGAAGATTCTCTGTCCATCAAAGAACGCTAGAATTTCTGCATCCGTTTGTCAGTCAAAGCAAAACCCAGGGAAGTTGAAAACAAACTGTACCACAAGTGCTTTCTCTGTATTGACAACTAAGTAAATACTGCAATGGCACAAGGAGGTAATTTTGTCAAATAATATGGATGTGAACACCATTATAAGCAATCTCTTACCATTTCATGTTTTTCTCTTTTTTCAACCATCTCTAGGTTCCTTGGCCCAGTACTCGTAAACTCCAACTTGAATCCATCAAAATAAACCAAAGCACCTGTTTAGATCAGAAACAAAGTATTTGGGATCTTTTAGCAGTTAAGGTACTTTAACGTAAAAGAAATTATGTACACCTTTAGGTAAAGGAGTTAGTCACAAACTTTTGTATATTTTCATTAGTCATAGATATGTTGAGGTGGTTCTCTACAGCACGCTATATCTGTGCATGCTTGCATGAGTATTTCTCTCTATGGCATGCTGTATCTGTGCATGTTTGCATGAGTATATCGCTCTATGGCATGCTGCATCTGCACAGGCTTGCATGAATATTTCTCTCTAAAGTGGAATCGTCTAATCATAATACATTTTTTAAAACCTCAAAGACTTTGCCTTGTATTATCCCAGCTCTAGTAAGCCAAGCAGTGCTAAGGGAATGCATGCCTTACCTGCTTATGATGGTTCATGCCCTTTGGCCACCCACTCTAATGTGTAGTGACCTGAAATGTGTGAAATAAACAAAAGCTAAATAGCTAGATTCTTTTAAATCTAAGAAACTGTGTCTTTTTCAATTTAGTTCATAGCAGTAAATACCCTTTGAGTTCTCATGCACGAGACTGAGTGCTAGAGGCTATAATTAATTCATCAGGTTAAGCATGGTGTTAGTGAATTCAAGTTCAGAAAATTAAGCTCCAGAATGATTCAATTAATACAGCTCTATTATCTTATCACACCATGCTTATCTAATCCTAGAACTTGAAAATTAAAGATAACCATTCCTCAGAGGAAAGGAGAGCTAAGCAAGAATACAGACCCATGAGAGAATTCCATCACATTCTACCCAAACCCCACATCTGATAGAAAAACTCAGGTTTTGAATTAAGCACCTATAATTCTGAGTTTCTTAAGGCTTCATCAGCTTTAAAGTATTTTTTTTTGTTTCATTAACACATTTTTTACAGTGGCCCTCATGACAAAACCTCCAGGACTTCTTTCCTAACCTTTCAAAGGCAGCTGGCATTCCAGTTCTGTGTCTCACTCGCTCCTGTTCTAATGCTTTATAAACCCCACTTGTCGCAGCGCCTCCACTGATGAATGCCACATATAAATAATATTTATTATCTTTCTGTTGTTTCAGCTCTAGGATCAAACTCTAGACTTCATACGTGCTAGACAAGTGTTATATCACTGAGCCTCACCTCAGCAAAAAAAAAAAAAAATTAAAAATTCCCATTGGAATTTTAACACCAACTAGATATCTTGGAATGTGGAACAAATGTTTTGAGCCATATTGAACAACCTCAAGCTTTTCTACAACTATTCTTCAGGAAGGAAGAACTCGTCATACTGTGAGATGGGTCTGAAAGTAAGGTGCATGCCTCCGACCCTGATGACCGGAGTTCGATTCTGTGGAGCCTCGCGGTGAAAGCAGAGGACCGCCTTCCAGGTGTCCTCTGGCCACCAGGAGTTAACAGTGACACACATGCCTATACAGACACACACACTCACACACACACACTCACACACACACTCACACACACTCACACACACACACTCACACACACACTCACACACACACACTCACACACACACTCACACACACACACTCACACACACTCACACACACACTCACACACACACTCACACACACACACACTCACACACACACTTCAATACAGACACACACACTCACACACACACTCACACACACACTCACACACACACTCACACTCACACACACTCACACACACACACTCACACTCACACACACACACACTCACACACACACTCACACACACACTCACACACTCACACTCACACACTCACACACACACTCACACACACACTCACACACACACACACTTCAATACAGACACACACACTCACACACACACACTCACACACACACTCACACACACACACTCACACACACACACTCACACACACACTCACACACTTCAATACAGACACACACACTCACACTCACACACACACGCCTATACACACTCACACACTCACACACACACACTCACACACACTCACACACACACGCCTATACAGACACACACACTCACACACACACACACTTCAATAAGTGTTCTTAAAGAAAGAATGACTATTCTTTCTTTAAGAACACTTTCTTTCTTTAAGAACTATTCTTAAACACTTTCTTTCTTTAAGAACTATTCTTTCTTTAAGAGCTGGACAACTGAGCTCTGAGTATTTAGTGACTTCTTCCTCCAGTTCTCTGCTAAGCCTACAGATACATCTTTACAAAATCAAAACTACAGAGGGGGATTCTAAAGTCGTCTTCTTTCTCTAACATTGCCTTAAATAGAAGTGTTTAAAGGTTATGTTTTGATTTTCATTTGCAACACTGGAAATAAAGTTGAAGATTCTGCAGGGGCTGCCAATCCTAAGCACAGATTGACACCTACTAGGGAAAGGGTACAGTTGATCCTCTTCATCTAGGGATTCCATATTTATGATCTGCCTACTTACTAAAACCCCCATGCATTTGTTGTGCTTCCCATGTGTGGAGAAGGAAGACGTCTGAGATAGTGTTGTGCCTTTGCAAGCTGACCAGGCACTGGTTGGCAGGTGAAACTCTATCTTCTCATTTCTGCTTACTTTTGTGAGTTACAACAATTAGCTTTTCCTTTGATCTACTCAATGCCATTTTTTTTCTTCAAATTTAATGACTTTTTTCCCTTGTGACTTTGCTGTTTGAAATGTCCTTCAAGTGAAGAGCTGAAGAACAGTCTGTCATTCCTAAACACAGGAAGGCTGCGATGTGTCCTACAGAGAAAATACATGTGTTGAATAAGCTTAATTCGAACCTGAGTTGTAATGCTGACATCCAGCTCCTCAGTGTTAATCCATCAACAATATGTGTTAAGTAAGGTGTAATTAAACAGAAACACACAAATGACAAGGTTATGTGTTGATTGGCTGATGAAAATGTTCTGACAGTACAGGAGGACAGGACCCTGTATTTTCCCTGGTTGGATATTCATTAGCTTAGTATTTATAGTAACTTATAAAAGACAACTACTATTAATAATGAGGATTAACTATAAAACTTGTGGGCAGATGACGTGGTAATGAGAACAGACCCTTAAGGTGCTCTTGATCATGACCCCATTGCTGCTGTAAGTTAACGTTAAACACCCACCACACAAATACACACACACACACACACACACACACTCAGCCAATTGCACTTCTTACATTTCTTTCCACATAGTTGAACTCACTTTTGTAACCACTTGTGATAAGGTTGCCCAACTCTTATGATCGACTCCAATCCCTATAGAATCCTGGGTCTTGCTTTAGAATTTCTGCAAATTCCCAAACATTATATGATTTCCTCAGTCTCTTCTGGCTCACTCTGCAGCTTCTGATGATGTCATTCAGTTTATGGACTTTCTTACTCTTCTATTCCACTAAAACCATGCAAACTGGGGATACAGGTGACTCCACCTGCTTGAAATTGGGGCCTGATATGATCCTCCTCATACAAAAGATGGTGGGAAGGAATTGCCAGTGGAGACTTTGACTTTTATAATAGCTGAAAACCTAAGAAGGTAGAGATAAAACACAACCCTGGCACTAGAAGCTAAGCCAAGCCCTATAATGGGCCTTCAGCGTTCCCATGCCCCTCAGACCATACTCTAAAGGCTGGTTGCTGACTGGAGGTCCAGAGAACTTAGGTAGAAGCAATTATGGAACACCTCAAACAGCCTGCAACATGATAAAATGCAGTCATACAAAGAAAGTTACCACACATTTTCTCTCACAAGCAGTCTCTGGATTTTAAGAAAAGCAAATAAGGAGAAGGGGGACCCTAAGGGAGCAGAAAGAGACCCATAGAAGATGGGATGGGACAAAATGACATTGTCAAGTAAATATAAACAGTGCATTATAGCCATGGTAGATCTTATTAATGTATCTCCTCCTCTTTTCTTTGCTTACCTGTGAATAACAACTACCTTCACTATATCCTGTGAATTTGCTTATTCTTCCCATTTCCTCCTCTCTGAAACGGGAGCTATAACAGAGAAGAGGATTGTGTCTCACGCATGTCAGATCCACGGAGCCTCTGTCTTAATCTGCGGAATGTAGCAGATACTTACACTAACTCTGGAGCAGTTAACAGAGGGAGAACTCAAGAACAACACATAGAGGTCCAAACTAGGCACTTGTTACATTACAGACATGTTGGCACCTCAAATGTCCTCATACAAAAAGTACGCACAAGAGTGTGTCATCCATAACTGCTGGTAAAATTAAATCATGCTTGCAACAAGTCTATATATGGCTGCCAGAGAAAATTCTCAATATTTTTTAGAATTTTTTCCTACCCCATTCCTGAAGTAATAAGGGCGACGGTGAGGCTGCGTCCCCAACACCCCAGCCGCCTTCCCCGGCTAGCTTATGCCCCAAAATAATTACACAGACACTGTATTCTTTTAAGCACTGGTTGGCCCTTTAGCTCTAGCACTTACAGGCTAATTCTCACATCCCGATCAACCCATCTCTAATAATCTGTGAGAACCGGTCTTACTGGGAAGATTCTAGCCTAGTCCATCCTGGGTCGGAGCTTCATGCCAGGAGCGGGGCATGGCGTCTCTCTCAGGCGTCTGCTCCAGAGGAAAGCTGTCGAGACTCTGACCTCACTTCCTCTTCCTCCCAGTGTTCTGTCCTGTTTTCTCCTCCCACCTATCCTCTAACCAATAAAATGGGCCAGGGCAGTGCCTTTATTAGCCAATGACCTTCCTCCATCATTTCCCCTTTTTCGGTTTAAACAAAAAAAAGGCTTTAACATAGCAAAATTACATATAACAAAACAGTTATCAAGTAAAAGTTACAATAATCTTTATCATAACTAAGGAAAACTATAACTATAACTAACTATTCTTAACTCCATCAAAGACTCCAGAAAGATATATTACCTAAGTAAACAAGAACTAAGAAACTTCAAACTCTAGAAATGACAAAGACATCTCGCTGTCTGGACAGTCATCCAAAGTTCTTTTGTACCGTTGGGGCATCCATCTT